CTGATATCCATCCTCCTCCTAACGATATCCCCCCTACACCCTACCCTCCTACCCCCTCCCAACACAACCCATCCCCCGTGACCCCAATCCCGCCCACATTAACTCTCCCACCATCCCCTCTATCCCTTCCACTCCCTCCTGGATACACACGTGAATCCCTTATGTCACAAGTATCCCCTTCCTCAGACCCTCCATCTCCTAATACCCCTCCTGATAGAACACCAACTCCCACACCTCTCCCATCTCAAACCTCTCAGTCCTTATCCCACTCTCTAGCTGCTTCCCCTTCAAATTCTCCAACACGTACTACAATCTATATCACTAAATCAACGAAAGTATAACTATCCTTCATTGGAATATTCGCGGTTTCCGCTCCCACAGACCTGACCTTCGTCATATCCTTTCCTCTTATAACCCATCTATTGTATGCCTTCAAGAAACCTTTCTTACACATCCTCCAATACCAATCCCCAATTATCATTTTGTCTCTTCCCCATATTCCCTTTATGTCTCGTCCATACTTATGTTCCTTATGTAATGTTCCCCTTTCAATCGTACACATCCTATTTTCGTGCTCACGTTTTGAAGCAGCCCGTACCTCTGCTTTCCCCCACCTATCCTCCCTTCACCGACCTCCCAACCTATCAGACATCCTTACAGAATCCCACACTTTCTGCATCAACAACCTGTTCTCTCCTCAAACGCATACATATTCTTTATCTAATCTAACACCCGACCTTAACCCTTTGACTCACCAATTCCTTTGCCCAGCTTAGACAACTAATCACTAACTCAACCACCCTTCACTAACATTAACTATAGTGCTACATGACCTTAGATGTCTAGCACATTTATCTTGCTTTTAACCATTAATCATCATTAACTCATCCCTAACCCTTTCGCTGCTATACTTTACCATAGTACTATATGGCCTTTGGTGTTATACAGCACTTCCTTACCTGTGGCTTTACCCCCAAGGCTCATGCTATTGCTATATTTGGAATACCTCACTAATGACCTTGAAATGTTCATTATATTACATAATTGCTTGATATTGCCACCCGTTTAGACTTTTTTGAACAGACCAATTATTATGCTACACAGTACTTCACAGTTGTGATCCCTATGTATAACATGGTTATCCTACTACACGCATCCTTGCTCTAGTACAGCTTTGACAAGATCCGTGCAGCACAACATAAAGCCCCATCACTGCTTACTTAGCATAATTTCTTTCTTAGCAGGGTTAGTCGATCAGACAGTGCATGATGGGCTTCGGTCATATCCGGCTAGGTTTGTTGGGTATAATTTTGTTGTCCGCACTGGCCATTACCCGAGTTGGTAGCATTTTGGGCGTTTTGATGGTTTTCCATTTTTTACCTACCTAAGGCTTCTGGAATATTCACAGAAAAAAAAAGGATGCTATGAATTATATTTACTATGATACTTCCAAAAATGTCAAATAATAACCAGAGTGAAGGGAAGAACATTGAGATTTGAGATAATCATTAAGAAATATAACCAAAATCTAATAACTGTTTGCGTATTCTATACATTATCACAGTAAAGAAGAAAATGTTTGAAGTGACATTGACAGACCGGTGATTTTGCTCGACTACCGCATGAACTTTCTCCTGAACTGCAAATTGATAAGGTTTAAAAGCATGTATCCCCCCCCCCCCACCCGCCAATCCCTTGCTCGTTGTCGTGGAGGTTGCTTAAGAGATGGTGACTGAGGCCCAACATAGGGGGTCCCCCTTACCTTGGGCCTCAACCCTTGCTTTGACTAATGGTCTCTTCTACTCCTTTCCATTGCCTTCTCTTCTTCATCCCCTTCTTTTATCCATTTATCCTTTAACTCATTTTACCCATTTCATAACGCTATATGACCTTTGATGTCTGGTGCATTTATTTGTTTTGACCATTGACCATCCTGGAAATCCACAAACATCGCCTTACTGAAAAAAAATCCTTACCTTGGGGCTTCATCCGCAAGCCCCATCCTATCATTATATTTTGTATAATAACGTTAGATGGCAGAATTTTTAAAAATAAATGTCTATATGAGTGGGCTTGATTGGCTGGCATGCCAGAGAGGTGTCATCAGGGGTGGGTGAACTGCTGGCTAAACAATCGATTTCACGTAAAAAAATGGTTGTTTAATCCGTAGTTTGCCCGCCTATGACGTCACATGGGCATGCCCACCTATCAAGCACACATGTTTGAGCATGCCATTAAAGGCCTGCCCAGACGAGCGGCCGTGACCGACGGGTAACGCGTTTGGTGGGCAAATTCTGCCGAGCTTGCCAAGGAATGTTGACCACACGGCCGAGTTGATGCATGGGCGTGCGTGCACGTCGACGCCGGTAGCATGTGATAAGCATGGCACCTATCATTACCAGGAAGAAAGCATTGTTTAGCAGCATAATTGCTCTGTGTAAAGAGAAGAAATATATACTTCTGGAACTACAACATGACCATGAGCAAGATTCTGAAAATA